GACCATTTATACTAAAAACAACTAAGTTATACAAAGGTTAACTTAACTAACTAATACTAATAACCTAAGCTCCTTTCACTAAAATAGTCATATCTTAAGATATCAAACTCATAATTAAAATATTTTTAGTGCGTTAAAAACTAGACTTGATAAAATTTCTAAGCATATATGGCACACTTCGTGATTCCTTGTAGATTAATTATAATAATTTTTGCAATCTATGTCATATGCTACTACTAGACAACTGTATACCTTATAATAAAAATTACATATTTATTCATAGGAGACTTGGGAATTTAGTTCTGCTTGTTTTGTTGAAAATTAGACTCAATAAGTTTTTCAAACATGTATGGTTCAATTCCTAATTCATTGTATAAATATTAAAAAGAATTCATAGTTCCTCCCTATTGCTACTACTAGGTAGCTTGCACATCCTCAAGTAAAAATTAGACCACTCTTTATAAAAAACTAAAAATTGACTTTTGTTTATTTTGTTGAAAAGTATATTCAACAAGCTTTCCAATGGTATATAATAATCATAACAATATTTTATTTCTTAATATAGAATATTATTTAAATTCACCACTGCAAATACCATAATTCATACGAAACAGAATTTTTCCTTTCTAATCCCATCCAATTTCTGTTTTTTATTTTTATAGCCATAAAAGTGACATTACTAAACTTTCCCAATACTTCATTAGACATTTATTAAAATCTAAATGATTTGCCCAACCAATCTTAAAGAGGGACAATGGATTTTCTAAACTTTTACGATTTTTAGATTACAAGTTAAAACCCAAGACTTAACAATAAAAATTATTTCTCCAAAATTGAAGTTATTTATTCATCTTTGAAAGATAACTCTACCTTCAATTGAAATCCTTCAACTTGCCTGCTCTGTATAAGGAAGAAAGGAGAAATAAGCCTTTTCTTTTTTTTTGACCAAACAAGTAGTATAAGTTAACCTTATTAAAAGTTGGGTTATTTATTATTAAGTCATTTGCCTTTCTAACTCTTTATTAAAAAGTCCCTTCACTTATAAAAATACCTAAAAATAGTAATTTTTTATAGGTATTAAATCATGTTTACTTCTTTTAATAGTGCTATCAATGTCCATATTTGCTATTCCATGCTCTTCATAGTTCCTTTTTTCCATCTTCACCACTTCTCCTTATATCATCCAAGAGCCAAATTCTTCCATTTTGTTCTTTGTTGTTGCCTCATATCACATACCTTTTTTTTTCCTAATCTTATTATAGTGTTTAACATGTCATCCATCCCATATATCATCTTTGTGTGTTCTTTTATTGTCAGACTATCATTAGCATTTTTAAAAGTCCGATGGACATGTAATCCACTGTAATCTCAAAAATAGAGGCCCTTTGGTGAATTTTTATTACTTCAGTTGCTTTGATGATATGGAAAAAAAATATAAGGAATGAAATATCCCATTTAAGGCAAAAAGATTAAAAGTACCTTTATTAGGAAATAAAGATTTTATTTTACACTGGTGCAAGAAAAAACTCCTCTTATCATGTACGTAAGCATAACTTTTATTTAAGTAATAATTATAACTTATGATGGTGTTTTTGTTAAATCATTGAAAATTTTCAAATCTAGAAACCACTTAATTGAAGATTTTCAATGAATAAATGTTGAAAATGCTAAGAAGTTTTGAGAATGTGTTTGGATGAGCATTTGGAAGGGAATTTCATTTCAAAAAAGATTTTTAAAATCCAAAAGTGAATTTATTTGTTTGGGTAAAACTAAGAGAAATTTTCATGAGAGATTTCTCTCTTGAAATTCTATCAAAAGATTTGATTTTTCAAAAAGGTTAATAACATGAATGACCTCTAAACTATAGTAAACTACTTAATATGATACCTAAACTTTAAAAATGTTAACTAAAATGGTACTCAGCTATAACAAGATTAGTTTCAAATGATGACACGTGAGAGATAAATAACTTTTCAAGTATCACATCAATTAATAAATTTATAGTTTAGATACTAAATATAAAATTTTTTAAAATTCATATACCACATTGAACATTTCACTATGGTAGCATTTGATATCATTTTCAAGATCACCATGGTAATGTAATTATCAAAGTGATCTTATCACTCATGTTTTAAAATCACTTTGTTTGGTTAACAACTATTAATCCATAAGAATTAAAGATCATCGTATTTGGTATTACTAAAAACTGAACATTGTTTTATTTAACAGTACGAAAATAACCATGCATATTGTAATAATGATATAAATTAGTGATTTTAATGTTGTTTAAAGATAATAATTTATAAATATAGTAATATTTTATTTATCTTATAATAAATATTATTAATTATTAAATTAAAATTTATTATTTATTAGGTAAACTAATTTTTATAATATAACTTATGTAAAAATATTTGAATTAGAAAATAAAACTAATCTATTAAAACCATAATAAAATAAAACAAAAAGATTATTTTATATATAAACTATTAAAAAATTAAAAAAAAAACACTCACACACATAAAATTTATTTTTGAATGCGTTACAATGAATATTAGTTTGAAAATATAAAAAGCTATAATATAAATTACAAATTTAAAAGGCAATAAGTTTTTAATTAATATATTAAATGTACAATATTGACTATTATTAATTTTTACATATCAATTCACTTTGATGATAAAAAGTTTCCTATCATTTTAAATGAGAATTAAATCACTTTTCAAAATAGTAATCTGATCACTCTTTGTGGTCAAAAATCACTACTATGTACGATCATCGAGTGCTCATCAAATATGATGATTTAATCACCAAGTGTAGGTAATATAGTTTTTGGAATGATCACTCATATCAAACACTGCTTGTAATTTATAGGTCATTCATACTATTAACCCTTCTCAAATTCTTGTAAATCTCACATATTTTTACTACACATCGCCCACCATAAAATACTAAACTTTAAAAAATAAAATATTATTTTATTTAACTTTACTATATTTTTTTATCTTTTTTTTCATAATATTAATAATATCTATACATTTTTACAAATATAATGATACCTATATTACATATTATATATATATATATATGTATTGTATTTTTATTTTATTACTATTTTTTATCTTATCAAATTTCAATAGACTAAATTTTCTTTTAAAAAATATTTATCCAAACAAACCAATTACAATTATTAGTATTTTGAAATGATGTATTTTAAAATGCCCTCATTACAAATTTTTTCAAAATTTTAAAATTCGTCATCTAAACGCACGGTTAGCTACTTAATTTATTAAGTAGACTTTATTTAAAGGAATAAAATGTTATTTAATTACAATAATTTAGTATTATTTCCTTTTAACAATTTATTCTTTCTTTTTTAACTTTTATCAATTGAAAATAATCATAAAATTATATATCATATAAAAAATTAATAAAAATTTTACTAAACATTTAATTTTCAATTGCATAACAAGCAATTTTTATATCATAAATTTACTATCTAAAATTTCTTGACCTAAAATTTCAGTCATTTCTGCTTTCCTCTTTAGTACTTTTTTTTGAAGGCAAAATACTTTAGTCTAAGTAATTGACTAGCTTAGCGTAGCGTTGTAACTAAATAATGCATATAAAAACAAACCAAGAAAACAGGAAACAAATTAAGAGTTTATAAGATATTAAACTATACATTTATTTATAGGTGCAATATTATCATTTTAATAAATATATATTTTATTTAGTTTCATAATTATTATATCAAAATTTAAAAGAAATGAAAATCTAATCGATTTTACCCCCAAAAAAATATAAAGATAGATTAACGAAACGGGCATGTAATTTTGGGAACATAGTATATATTTTAATTTTTATGGATTTATTAGGGTGAACAATTGACATTTATGATTTACATAGATTATTACATATATATTAAATATTAAAATTTTTATAATATTATATTCAAATTAAATTCCTTCACCTTTTATCAATTAATTTTTATATTTAATATAATGTAAGAGACCGAGTTTCATTATATTATTTTTATCTCTTACTCCTTTCAAGTTTATTATTTAATAAACTTTTATCTATCCATTTACGTAATGGGAACATTTTAAAGGGGCATCGGAACTTTTTATAGTTTGTTGGTAAACTATTGCTGACCGTTAGTTGTTCAATTTGTTTCTTACCATTTTTTTTTCTTATAATCATCAATTTCATACATGACCATAAAATAAATCTACATTGTTTCGAGTTTCCACATTTTTTTTATCACTTTATATATAAAATATCGTTTATAAGCACTAAAAGAAAAAGTTTAGAATTTAAGATTATTCTTTAATAACATAAAATTAAGAAATCCAAGGTTAAATTAAATCCTAGAAGCATTTACTAATAGAAAATAAAGTAAAAAAAAAGGGCAAAATGTCACATATTTTTTGTATCGCTTAATTATCAAATTATTTATTGGATCAAACTATACTAATAATTAGTAATTTTTTATAATGCGATTAAAGATATATTCAAGTTTTGTTAAGGTTATATTGCTCGGTGCATTGACATTTTATTCTTGAAAAAATTTTTATAAAAATAAAAAATATATCCAATAATTACTAATAACTAGTTGGCAGTTAACGCTCCAAATGATCTTTGAAATAGAGGAAAATATTTTAATATATATTTAAAATTTAAGAATTTTAGTATTTAAATTATAAATTTATTAATTAATTTAATATAATTTTTAAATGATGAAAAATAAATTTTTTTTAAATATATTTGAATTAATATATTAATAATTCAAATATTATATTATAAACTTTTAGAATTATCTCCAAGGTCAATATTTTACTGCACTTGAAAAGACGATAACATTAATCCGACTAATAATTAATTAATTAAATTAATTACAATAAATGTGTTATATTAAATGAAAATAAATAAATTGGTTTTATGAAGGGTTTTTGCTAACACGTAAGAAACAGACTTGCTATTTCTCTCTTTTTTTTTTTTTTTTTTTTTTTCACCGTCTAAAACAAGCAAGAGAGAGAAACTGAAAACTGAATATTGCTCAAAGGAAGCAGCTCCGTTTCTCTCTCTTTCTTGTTGCAATGATTTTCATCTCCCAACCCAAATCCAAATGTAACTCTTTCCCTTTTGTTTTAATTGTTTTCTTTCCTGTTAGTTTATCTTTTTGTTTGTAAAAAGTTAATTTTAAGGTCAAGCATTTGGAAAAGTTGGTTGATTGCAAGAAATGAGCAAAGGGATTGTAAAGGAAGAAGCGGCGTCGTCGTCTGGTGTTGTGTCGGCCGAGAACCGTCCTTTTGGTAGTCTGAGAGGCGTCCAATGGCGTATTAATCTCGGGATTATACCTTCTTCTTCAATTGATGATCTACGCAGAGTAACTGCTGATTCTCGCCGAAGGTAATCATTTCTTCTTTGTTTTCTTTCGTTTTTTCTTAAAAAAGATTTAACATCTCGATAAAATTGTAAATTTGATGTAATTTGGATCTTCTTTTCTTGTACAGACTACCAAAATTTGGTCTTTTTCGTTTTCTAATTTTAAATCCATAATTATTTTTTATAGCTTTTATTTTGATTTTGTTATGAAGCATTTCATCTGATTATAGCTTAAAATTTATATAAAATAAGAACTTTGTGTCTCTGGGTTTTCAAAGGATTTTACTTTTCTTTGTTTCCTGTTCAGATTATTTCAAAGCTTTTTTTCATTAAATTGCAATTGATCAATGATCCGGGGAAAGTTTTTTCTCTAGAATAAGAAAACAAAAGGAGAAATGTAGCAATTGATTTAGGTTTTTTTCTCTTTTTTTTTTTTCATTTTTTTTTAATTAAAAACTAACCTTTATAGCTTCAAATATCTGATTTTATGATAACTTAGATATGCTGGGTTGAGAAGGCAGCTGCTAGTGGATCCACATGTTCCCAAGGATGGAGTATGTGATTCCCTTGATCTTTTCATGGACAATCCGCTCTCACAAAACCCAGGTAATTTTAATGTTTTTTCTTTCTCTTGTTGCAGCACTTCCATTTTACTTCACTATTGACTAAACACTTGCATTGCTGATTCGTCGGCTTTTGTTTTAATTCGTACTATTGTTTTTACCCTGCTATGTTATCTTGATTAATGTTAAATTTATATGAACAGTGTTTATGGGTCCAATGTCGTAGTTGCACAAAAAAGGGAGACTAATCAATCACTTTTCCTACCTTTCCACCCTATCCTTGCTGGTTGGTTTTGAAGCCAGGACTACCGATCTTTGTCAATGGAAAATTAGATTGTTGTATATGTTAGGAATATCCTTCTATGAGCAAATTTACTATGGTTTCACCTTATTTCATGTCCCTTTTTTAAATTGTTTGCTTGCTTGATTTGTATTGAAGCAATAGCTAATTCTTCATGCAGACAGCATATGGGGTCGATTCTTTCGGAATGCTGAGCTGGAAAAAATGGTTGACCAGGATTTATCACGATTATATCCAGAACATGGAAGCTACTTCCAGACTCCTGGATGCCAGGGAATGTTGAGACGAATATTGTTGCTGTGGTGCCTTAGACACCCAGAGTGTGGTTATAGACAAGGTATTTTCTTAAGTGCTCTGCATGCATGCATTATTAGTTTTCATTCTATCATATTGTAGATTTTGGAAAATTAAATCATCAATGCATAGCAACCCCAATTATTAAATGCATTTCAAGAGTTTGAATCGCAATTTTTTTTTTCCTGGTAAGACACAAAAGTAACACGTTTGCTTATCACCTTACATAAAGGCTAGTTGGAGCAGATAATGCAAATTTCATTCTGTAGTATGAAATGACAATGCTATTGGAATTTGGAACATAATATCCAGAGTCAAATAACTTGTAATTCTTGCCATATTAATATGAGAGGCATCAAGCTGGCTCTTTATATATTTCTCTTTTCTGCTTATTTGTAGGAATGCATGAACTCTTGGCTCCTCTGCTGTATGTTCTTCATGTTGACGTTGAGCGTCTTTCAGAAGTGCGAAAGCTTTATGAAGACCATTTCAATGACAAATTTGATGGATTGTCATTTGAAGAAAATGATGTCGCATATAATTTTGATTTTACGAAGTTTTTAGATTCCATGGAAGATGAGATTGGATCTCAAGGTAATTCAAAGAAAGTTAGGAGCCTTGATGAGCTTGATCCTGAGATACAGGCCATCGTATTGCTAAGTGATGCTTACGGAGCTGAAGGTGAACTTGGTATTGTCTTGTCTGAGAAATTCATGGAACATGATGCCTACTGTATGTTTGATGCTTTGATGAGTGGGGTATGTGGTTCAGTTGCTATGGCAGATTTTTTTGCTACGTCTCCTGCAGCTGAGTCCCACAGTGGCTTATCGCCTGTCATTGAAGCCTCGGCTGCCTTATATCATTTACTTTCAATTGTTGATTCATCTCTACATAGCCATCTTGTTGAGCTCGGTGTTGAACCCCAGTATTTTGCACTTCGCTGGTTGCGTGTTTTATTTGGACGGGAGTTTTCACTTCAAGATCTCTTAGTTGTATGGGATGAGATCTTCATCGCAGATAATAGCCCGCCCAATAAAGACTCTGAAGATGATGAGATTGCCAGTTTTAGAACACTCAATTCACACCGCGGAGCATTAATCTCTTCTATGGCAGTCTCTATGATACTTTACCTGAGATCTTCCTTGCTTGCCACTGAAAATGCAACTTCTTGTCTTCAGAGACTCTTGAATTTTCCAGAGAATATAAATCTGAAAAAACTTATATCAAAGGCTAAGTCACTGCAAATTCTTGCTTTGGATTCTAACATCTCATCCTTGTCATCTAAATTTGGTGGGGCTTACAACCGCAGCAAATCTTCGGTTAGTGGTCACAATCTTTCATCTGATCCTGTTTTTCCAAAAACTCCTCTAAGCCTGGTGCCTGACAGCTACTGGGAAGAAAAGTGGAGAGTACTGCATAAGGCAGAGGAACTAAGGCAAAATAGTTTAGGAACGCAAACTCCGAGCAGGAAAAAGAGATGGTCAGAAAAAGTAAAGCTGGGCCTATCTAGAACTGAATCTGACCCATCAGCTGCAAAAGCAGAGAAATGCGAAAAGAACCACAGGTCATTGGTTAGGCATTGTTTGCTTGAAGACTTGTCGCAGCAACTTTGTTTGGAGGAAGATGCTAAAAAAGGAGGCTGTTTTGATGCTTCTAATTCAGAGGACCATCATTCTATGGAAGTTCAGGTGGAGGGACAAAATGGTACAAACAAAGAGTCTATTTGCACAGCTGAGGAGAGGTGTGAGAGTGGAAGTGGAACTGTTGTCAGTGATGAAAACTTTATCTTTTCTGACCCAGCAAGTCCTGACCATGAAAATGACACAGAAAAAAGTAGTGTTGCATCAAATTTATCCATAGATGAAAATGATGATCACCAGCAAGGTTACCCAGAAGTTTCACCTCTGCCTGTTTCCCTTGCTCCTGATGACATCTCTCTAAAATCTCTGCATAAGAATGAATCTTCAGGGAAGATTGTCTCAGCTACAAAGGAGCGAAGGCATCTTTTAGGTAAATTCCAGTGGTTTTGGAAGTTTGGGCAATACGTCAGTGAGGAGACATCTGATAAAGGAGGTAACCAAGACGCTACAAATTCTCCAAATTGCAATAGCAAGAGCAGTACAACAGACTCATCTACTGATGGTGCTTCTCATAGTTTGTCTTCCACCAACAAAGGAGATGCTGTGGACCAGAATATGATGGGCACATTGAAGAATCTTGGGCAGTCTATGCTTGAACACATTCAGGTAGTATTTTGGTTTTTGTAACCGTGCAGAGCTTCAATCTATTGAAGGAAAATGTTTTATTGTTGAATAGAACAGTCTATAAGAGTAAGTTTAATGAAAACATGAAGCTGAGCTTTCAAAATTGAAGTGAAGTTGCAGAACATGTGAAGAATGTTGTATAGAATTTGATGTGTAGTCTTTATGGAAAGTTTGTGGATAGGTGTTGTAGATCAGCCTTACATGCATGATTAATCTACTAGTTGAAAATGATTTTGGTATTTAGAGAGAATGGGAATTATATCAAGCATAACTGATGATTGGTGGTTTCTTTTCTATTAGTACATTTTAGATACCTCCAGTTTCATGTCCCGCTCGTATTCCTAATATCTTGCTTTCAGACGTTCTCTTAACTTGCCTTAATCCTATTTGGAAGATGAGGGACAGATAAACAGGAGATATTGCAAATCTGTTTGCTTTTGTTCCAAAGTATATCTTTAACATGTAAAATTTTCTTTGATTTGGTTCCTTCAATCTTTAAACGACCATATTTCATTGGCAGGTTCTTGAGTCAGTTTTCCTGCAAGATGGAGGTCAGGTGGGATCGTTAGACAACTTCTCTAAAAACATTCTAGTTGGCAAAGGACAAGTTACAGCAATGACAGCTCTCAAGGAGCTTCGGAAGGTCAGCAACCTTCTATCAGAGATGTGAGATTTATTCTATTTATTAAATCCTGTATGTACTTTTTTGTACTTACCATTTTTTTAGTGCAAATAAAACAGTATTATTGGTTTCTTTACTCTGTATATTGTCTCATAATCTAAATCTTGTCTGTGTCTGAGATCATAAGGGATGTAAATATGCATTTTCTGTTGTTATCTCATTGAATTTTTGAAAGCATAATGATGCCCACAAGCGTAGCTTTTCCTGCCAAGGTTTCCTGTGTCACCTGGAAAGTTTAGCTTGGTGGCGGGTTTTGATCAGAGCTACTTTTCTACAATCCTTTCCTTGCAGAGTTGTAAATCAGTCTAAGATATAACCAAAACTGTTGTTTTCTCCCATCTCTCCTCCTTGTTCTGAAATATCTAACATTCCCAAAAAGTTATGAAAATAATTGTTTTTTCTTCTCTTTAACTTTGTAATATGAACCACGACAATATTAGCCACCACAAACCAGATAACGGTGAGACCCTAAACTTTTTTTTAAAAAAAGTGGGTGAAGCTTTAAATTTAATTAATTTATTTCATACAACCACTTTTAAAAAATATAGTAACATCTAACCGAAGTCTAAATTTCAACAACTAATTTTCTTTTCCTCAAGTTACGACATCGTTTATGAAAAAATAATAAGAATAACGGTGGGCAATTATTTTTTTTTCTTGGTTTGGGCAAATGCATTCGAGATTCATATTTTGACACGAGTAAACAATGAAGATATCTCGTAAGCAAATTATCCAAAAAAAAAATAAAGATATAGTAAGAAATAACAGCAATGACCCCACTCCGTCAAGAAAAGATCATCCACCCATAAAAGAAGATCCAATCCCTCTTATACCCAAAACTGCACAAGACAAAAAGCATGCCCCCTATTTATAAACCACAACAGAAAGGCCTCTTACAGAGGACCATATTCAAAAAGCCATAATTACCGAGAACCACGCGATGACTGCGCTGCTAAGTGTTATAGTAGTACATAAAATAATCAATTTCTTTCTTTTTTTTTTTTTTTTTGCATTTATTTCCAAGGAAAAGTTAAAGAACAATTTTGCCTGCAATTGAATTGGTTCAGAAGGCTTAGTCATTCGCTAAAGTATGATGTATTCTATGTTTGTGAAAGCCTGGAAGAAGGGACTAAAGTATGATCTATTCTAAGTTGTGAAAGCCTGGCAGAAGGGACGTGATGAAGCCAAAGACAATCATCTGGATTTCCTTAACAATTCCCCACCAGTGATTACCGCCATTTTCTAAACCAGGGTCTGCCGCATTCTCATTCTCAACCACCCGATTGCCATCATCTGCTGGCTGGTTCTCATTCTCTGCTCCTGCTTGTCCCTCTGATCCCAGATACAAGGTTACATATATAATGGGCATGTAGAATCACAATCAAATATTGTGCAAAATATAGTTTAAAACATTTCTCTAATCTTCTCTCAGCATGCAAGAATCAACACTTTGTGATGCTACACAGTAAAATTATGTTTTGTGTGCATATAAGCTGTGCAAGGTTAGCGGTTATCCACATGTGAGACGTGTTGCATGAACTTAACCACATAACTAAGTGTAGCCATTAATTGCTAGATTGCATGTCTAACTAGGAAGTTTAGTCAGGATTTAAGTTTGTTGTTTATCGCTCCATTTGTTATTATCTTGGTTTACAAGTGATAATTATCTTGACAATAAGCTGGTTCTATAAAAGACCAGCTGTTCATTTTAGTAGGAGTAAGTTTAATTCTAATAAAATCTCTAAAGGTTGACTTCCTTTAAAAGCATTTATTTTCAGTTTCTTCCTTTTTATCCAGCACACATCAAACTAGATCTTTCAAATGCATATGAACACAGCTATCTGGGATGATGCAGGATTCAATAAAGCAATTGAATAGTATTGTTTTATCACAACAATCGACAACTCGATGAACCTAAGCTTAATTTTGGAAATTATCATTAAAGAGACAATATTAATCTTGTTTTTTCATACAGAATTTCAAGAATTCATTATATAATTTTTAGTTAGTATAGCAAAAAGATGCATGCAAGCAATGAAGTCTAACCTCCTCCCCCCCCCCCCCCAAAAAAAAAAAAAGAACAGAATGAAATGGCTGGATGGGTTTCAGTTCACATTAAAATAAACCAAAAAAATTTACCAGCCAAAGCAGCATTTTCATTGCCCTGCCTTCCAGCAGCAGGAACATTCTCTGCTCTGGCAGCAGGTCTCGGTGGATGAGGAGGAGCAGCTGCCCTCTGCATGCCTTGTGAAAGCCACCTTATCAACGGTGTAAGAGCTCCAGTTTGATATCTGCAGAAAACCAATGTATTAAGTCAGCTTCCAGTGTTAAATTGAAAAGTATAGAGAAAACAAAAGAGACAACAGAAATGACATCAACTTTAGAATTTAGAATACTGAACAGAAACATTTGTCTTTGTTAATCTCGATAAATTAAAACCTAGAAAAAAAATTAAACTGGAAGTGAAAAGGTAAATAGAACCACCCAACATCATAGTTTTCCTTTCATTATTTGAAAAAGCTGCATCTCACCCATTAAACAGTCTAATGCAATTAGTGAAGCATAGTTGGTGATTCGAATGACAGAAATGCCCCACTTCACCCAGCCCCCAAAAGAAAGGATCACAATCTTTGTTTAAAGCAAAAAATCACACCCTTCTCCAGAAAAAGACCTCTTCTCAAAACCTCACTAACACCAAGGACCCATCAAGCCACTGCAATCCAATCAGTACAAAGATGGTCAAAAACAGGTTTCTGGAACTTATATCTAGCTATAAGGTGAAAAGAGAGTAAACTAAAGGGAAAGTGGGATCTGAGTTAGGGATTTCACTGCATCATTGCATTGTTTATAATCCAAAATTTCCAATATTCCCTTTTTCCTTCAGTTCAATAAATTGGGTTGCTAGAGCTTCAGGCATAGGGATGGTTTTGCACCATAGTATTTGTGATTTCTTTTTTCTTGAGGGATAAAAGAACAGGTATTCAATTTCTAACAGAAAAGCATGAGAGAGTTAAAAGCAAGCTTCAACAGATGAAAGAAGCAGAAAGAGTGGAAAAATGAAGGTAACAAGAAAGAAGAAATGAAAGATGGACAGTAGAGAGACAGTTTATATACTTGTAAATGTTCCACAACTTACACAACCAAACAATCAACTAACAGAAAATGATCTAAGAAAAAACAATTACATCCCCATCTTGAAGAAATGCATCCAAATAATTTGGTAAATAGCAGTTCTGATGCACAGAACAGTCTTAAAGTTAAAAGCAATCCGAAGTTTAGATACTTACAAATAGACAAGTGAAGCAAAGAACACAAGGACAGCCAGCCTCTGTCTAGATCCATCTTGGTTGAACAAAAACATTACAGCTGCTAGCTTAAGTAGAAGCAACCAATCCAGCTGAAATGCAATTTGGAATCTTCTTACAACAACTTGTCTTGGAGGTCCTGCCTGCTGCTGTTGACGTTGCGGTTGTGCTCCTTGCCCTTGCTCCTCAACTGCTGCCCCTGCCTCCGTCACAGGCCGACTATTAATGAAAAACATGCAGCACAGTAAGACAAACAGCTATCATTAACAAATTTAATGTTGCTTATAATCCGATTTACCACAAAGATATGCATCATTGTTGCGATTCCTCTCACTCGAAAACCTCAGAAGTCAACTAAAATTGTTTAGTTACTAGAATACTTTTGTGTCATCGCACTCTACCAATAGCAATATCCTTGATATATTGAGCTAATTTAACCAAATCCAGCAATATTTTTAAAGTACATTAACAAATAATTTCCCAACACAGCCAGATTAAGACGATTTTTCTGCCTCTATGAATTTCAAACATCAAAGGCAAACCTGTCACTCAAAATAGGATGCAGCTAGGGAACTAAAAGGATTAATATACATTTTAGGGCACCAAAACAAATGAGATGACAAGCTTTGTGATCTTATATCTTCTACCATATATGTTACACCTTTTAAGGAATAAAAGGTGACAGGAATTTAGACTAGTTTGACTAACGCCAGACCTAAACCTAGCAAAGACAACATCAATAGGTTAAAAGGAACAATAATGAAAGGTAATGATAAACAGCATAAGATGACCAATTAAGCGAATTTAGGTGCTTAATGAACTGAAACATTTAGTAAAAGCATTTAATAAAAGTGCCATGTGGTACCACTTCATGGGAAACAAATAATTTTATCACAATGGCCATAATAGTGGGATCCAATGTAGCGTTGCTAACGATCAGTTAATTAAATCATAATTTTGCAAAAACTGAAATAACTGCAATTGAGAAAAACAATAACTGAATTTTTTAGGTTAACAAGCTTCATTTGAAAAACTGAAAAATTGTTCAAGGCCTAAACACATGAATTTGATGTACAACTAATATGGAAAGATTTTATGAAACAATGTGTGAAATAAGTAAACAACCAAAGGTTGGCCTCATGGTTGTTAACCCTCAGAAGGGTAAGGTCCAGGGCCCTGCCCCTTGGACTTCCTCATATGTGCCAAAGAAAAAAGGTGAAATTGGAGGGAAAAACGAAAGTCTATTAAAAATCAGAATCACATCAAATATAAGAAACAAAATACATCAAGGAAATGCACATGTTAGAAAATGGAGCCAAAAACATTAATAAATACCATGCTCCTCAAGAGCGGGAGTAAATGCAAAAGGAAGATGGAAATCAAAATAAGTGAAAAGCAAGCTAATTGAGAGCATTAGGAATTTGAATCGGCCATCTGAGATGGCTTTTCTTTTTGTGCAAGTTAGCAAATTCCTTTTCTTTCCACAATGGCAGAAAATCCCCTCCTGGAAATTGAATGTATACCTAAATTTGTGTTTCTTGAAAAAGTAATCTTTGGAAGAGACAATCAAATAAAGAAAGGAAGCAAAAAATATAGACAATAACAAAATCAGGCTCCGAATTGTTCAGCAATGGCAGCACCTCAAAAGCTTGTGATCAGTGTTGATGTGTAGTGATGATGAAAAGAAAGGTAACAAGCAAGTTATAGTGACAGGAACAAGAAGGTTACCAGGTTGAAACTTGAAATCTAAGGCAGAGCAATGATATGAGAAATACAAATCCAAAAGGGACTAAAATATTTGGGCTTGTGCATCAATTTTTTTTAAAAAATAACCAATCAATATAGCCACCATTTTAAACTCTTTTTCCAAAATCAACTGAATGAACTGACAACCCAATTTTTGGTGCTGGAGATTGGATGATTAAATAATTGTTTCGTTAATCACCTAACAGTGCTAACCCCGAATCCGATGGAATGATAGGAGATTATTTACCTAAGGGCAACGTCATCTAACAGAAGGTAGATGAAATACATAAATTTACAAAACCACAGATTTACTTACATAGGTAGATTATAGGTGAGAGGAATGAGATTGTTAGATGGAAGTCCAGCAATACGTCCCATAAATGGTATAGCAGGGACAGCATAAATTCCTGCCCCACGATTCGTCTGTTCCTGATTTTGCAATGAAGTTAAACCTGGGATAATTGCAGGATACATAACCGGAAACATCTGAAAATCACCATTTTGAAAAGCAGGAAGACCAGTGTATTCCGGAATCTGCAACAAAAAAAGCCATATAGAAACAGAGAATGAAGAAAAGAAAACTGCCAACACAAAACACTAATGAAGAATAATAACATTACAGAACTCTCATCCACAAAGTAAACTCTTTCTCCTCTTCAAAATACAAAAAAGAAAAATTTTAAAAGAAAGTTTTTGATAGACTAATTAAAACTAATTTTTAGTAATCACCAAATAGGAAAGTGCAAGGAGCGAGCCGAATTCGGTGTTGATTTAATTTTGTCAAATTTGGACTCTTCTATCACTTGGCTGGAAATTACTTGGAGTCCGAAGAAAAACTTTCTGAATTACGTAACGCGTGAAATGTCTTTAAAGACATAAAAGATCTAAATGCTCAAGCATCCCATTTAGCTACTAGATGACTGCAATGCACAAAAAGGTGTATCTCTTCATTTGCAGCCTTTACAACTGCACATTATAATGCCATTTATCAAGCACTTACTAACACCATGACAGCAAGACCCCAGGTATCCCTCATAACTGGACACAAATAACATAGGCATCAAGGCCAAAAAAAAAAAAAAAGGTAATCCATCAGCTTCCCTCTTTCAACATGAAATAACCCATGTGGCAATCAACTAATGCTTGATACAAGTCCAGTATTAATTTGTTATCGCAAGACATATCAAAATGGTATCATCAGCCAATAATTTGCAAAATAATATAGATAAAACCCAGATCTCAAAAATTCATACACTCTAGATAAATCAAAACCATCATTTTATATACACTATAATGCAAACCATTTAATGATCTTGACTAAAATAGAAAAAGAAAAATCAATCCCGGAAGACAGATAAATTACCCGAGAGGTAAAAGAAAAAAAAATGAATGAAACTTTATTCTCAATCTCACAAAAAAAAAAAAACAAAAAAAAAGCAGATGCAGAAAACTGCAGTGACACAAATTAAAAAGCTAATATAATTGTAGGGATAAAAAAAAAAAAAGAACTGAATAGGAAAACCTGGAATTTTTTTTCAGTGTCAGAGGAAGATCTTGGTTGTGAAGTAGATGGTGACGCTTCATATTCTTCAGCCATTACAGTTGGAATTCGAATCCACTTTGATGATCTAAGTTTCAAACAAGCAATAATATTGTGTTACAGCAAAGGCTTTTCTTTCCGAGGTTTTAAATTTTTATTACGTTGATTTTGTGCTGTCTTTCCCAATAGCAACGTGCCACGACTTTTGTAATTTTTTTTTAACAAATTTGTTTTTCTTTCTTTAGATCGAAATAACATTTTATCGGTTTCATTTTAATAATTCAAAAATCCAATTAATGAATTTCATTTAAAATAATCATTGAACCCAATCAAATTAAAATAACTAACTAAAATGATTAAAATCGACTTAATATCTATTGATTCGATCGATTTTAACTATTTAAAAAATATATAATTTATACATTATTACATAAAAGTTACTTTATATTTACATTCTATTAAATATTATATTAAATAAATGATATTATATATATATATATGATTTTAAACTATTATGTAAATTACATTGTATTTATATAATACATGAAAAATATATTTACTGTTGATATGTTCTATTTGATTATCACTTTTGAAAATTATTAATTGAGAATAAATCAATTTTCTAATTGATTAATATCAAAATGAATAAATCAAACCAAATAATATTTTTATCTCTTAAATCAATTACAATATATTAAGACTTAAATCGATTAAAAAATACCAATTTATATTAGTATATAATTTTTTAAATTTTATATTTTTTACAAATTATTAATTTTAATAAATTTAAACAATGAGATAAATAAATCAAAAAGAGAAAAAATGATTTTTTTTGAATCTATTAAAATATATAATTTAGAAAAAAAAAAAAAGAAGCTATAATAATTACAGCACAATTAATAAATTATAATTTAGAATTATGAGGGGACCGTTAAAATTTTACATTAAATCTATATTTATAAGTGGTAAATCACTATATATAATTTTTTTTTTACGATTAGACAATTATAATATTCTAATAAAAAGAATTATAGGTAAAATGTTCTCTAGAAAAATCTATAAAACTGATCATACCTCCTAAAAAATATATATTAATTGTTGAATTTTATAACGAAATGTATTTTTTTTCATCTAATAAATTATAGTTTTTAGATTTTTAACTACTTAAAACTTTAAATTTTTTAGTAAAATTATGAAATTTTTTCCTATTAATAAAACAAAAGGTTTTTTATATTAGTAAAAAATTATCAAAGTTGTTTCTTTTCCTTTTGAATAGAAATTTTCAAACTTTAATCTAGCATGCTTTAAGAATTGATAGTAGAATTTCTACTCTCTAATGTAATAGAGTAATAAAAAATCAACAGAAGAAAAATCTTTGTTAACAATTACATTTTCAAAATTTACTTTCTTGAAATTTTAAAAATAAAAGAAATTTACTTTTATATCAAAACAAATCATCATATTTAAATTTTTAATGTTGCCCTATGAAAAAGTTTGCAATATTTTTTTTATTTTTTGTTATTTATTTTTGTTTTAGAAGAAATTAGATATAAAAGATAAATACCAAAAAATAAATAAATATGAAAGTATTTTTTTAAAATCTTTATTTTTTTCAAATGAATTGAATAATCTACAATCGAAAACTATGCATACGAAATCAAAAATATTTTACTTATAATTCTATTTATTACAATATATAATTATTCAATTATAATAAAAAATTATATAAAAATTTATTACTTATAAGTGTAACTGAGAACTTAAAAACAAATAGGAATCTATTTCGAATTTTGATTAATTGCTGCATAAGAAGAAATTTTTACTACAAAGGAAATGAGAAGTTTTTTATTTATAAAAAAGGAAATAATTTTTTACTGTATTAATATACTGTAAAGAAAAGAAAAATATCCATGCCTTGCATGGTTTGGACTTACCGGAGGAAGGGAATGTTGCTATAGATGGCCCTCCAAGCATGCCTTGGATGCTATCAACCCATGCAGGAGAATATAGGCCCACGAGTTTCAATGACGGGGGGAGAATTGAGGCTGTCAAAGTTAGTACGGGGGTAAAGGAACATTATAAGACTAGGGTTGTGACCATTGAGATCGAGACTCCCACAACAAAAGTCCACAAGAACCTCATGCATGATTTAATGCTGGATGAAGATAGAAGAAACATAGGCGTCAAACGGGGAGAGAATATTAATATGCATAGGTACAAAAAAAAGGAAGAAATTGGCACGTGCGCCTTCTCAAGCTATGCAAGTAGTAGACTTAGTAGTTGGGAGAAAGAGGAACGATACTGAAGAATAGGATCAAATGGAAGATGAAGTCCAGGGCAAGAGATTGGGAGTTGAGAACTCAAAGTCTCAACAAAATGAAAGCAGAACGGCAGAAACTTGTCACCAGTCCCGCCGAGAACCATTAAAACATTGGCTTGGGAACCTACGGACAGTTTGGGCTCTTCACGTTTTAGTGGAGAAGGAAGATCCCGATATTGCCTTTCTTAGTGGGACATTATTGAAGGTCAAAGATCTTGATATAATTAGAAGAAAAAGTAACATGAAATCCATAATTGGTGTGGATGTAGTGGTTACAGTGGCGGCCTAGGAATGATGTGGAAGGATGGAATTTATCTCAATCTTAAAAGTTTATCTAGGTTCCATATTGATATGGATGTTTCTTAACCATGTGGTTATGAATGGAGGGTAATCGGGTTTTACGGGGAGCCAAAAATTACAGATAGACATTACGCATAGAGGAAATTGGGGAGTCTAGTGGTTCAGTCAAATAAACTATGGCTTTGTGTGGGGGACTTTAATGAAATTTTATGGGATATTGAGAAAGAAGGGAGAAATATTCGATCGGCTTGGCAAATGAAGGCCTTTAAGCTCACAACTGAGGAGGCGGGTCTCGAGGATTTGGAATTTAGAGGAATATGGTACACTTGGAAGAGGGGAATGATGCACAATCGGTAATCAAAGAATGACTCGATCGGGATTTTTGGAACAAAGAATGGATGGAGTAGTTTCCACGGTATACGGTGACAAACTTAGTTACGTCAGTTTCCGATCATAATCCAATTTTGGTGGATAACCAAGGGTGCAAGGTGGCAAGGAAAAGTAGACACAGGAAAAAACATTTTCTCTTCATAGCCGCATGGGTGAAGGAGGAAGAAACAAACGAAATTATAAAGAGCTCGTAGAATAGGTGTCAACGTGGCGGACTCCATGTGAAACTAAGGCACGTGGAACATGCTTTAAAGACATGGAGGAAATTGAAGCTTGATAAGTCCACGTGTAATCTTGCCAAGCTTAAAGAAGCATATGCCGAATTGAAAAAGCAGGACCAAACTAATGATGTGATGCGACGGTCAGATGAGCTTAGACAGGAAATTAACGTGGCTACAGAGAGAAAAATTTTTAGGCCCGGAGATCAAAGGTGAACTGGTTGCGTGGGGGAGACAAAAACACCTTTTATTTCCACACACAAGTGACAACCAGAAAGAGGAATAATATTATTAAGGGCCTAGACGATGACAACAGGTTATGGAATGGTGATGAAACTTGGATGCAGGGAGCGGCAGTCGAGTACTTCCAAGAACTATTCAAAACTCAAGGGTCGAGCCAGATAGGAGAAATCCTGGATGCAATAAGCCCAAAAGTGACAACCGAAATGAATGACTTGCTTGTGGCCCAGTTTATAATTGATGAGATCAAGAAGGCAGCAACACAGATGCACCCCACAAAGGCGCCGTGACCGGATGGTATGCCTGCACTCCTTTATCAAAAATTCTGGAATACAAGAAGAAAGATATTACCCAATTCTCTTTGTCTGTTTTGAATGGGAATGCAGCATTAGATTATGTTAATTGTACTAATATTGTCCTAATCCCTCATGTCAATAACCTTAGGAAGATAACTAATTTTAGACCTATAAGCTTTTGTAACGTATCCTATGAGATCATTGCTAAAGTCCTTATCAACAAGCTCAAGCATGTTCTCCCATACTATATTAGTGAATAACAGAATGCGTTTGTGCCTGGTAGGCTTATCTCAGACAATGTACTAATTGCGTATGAGATGACTCATAAGCTTAAGACTAGATGAGTAGGACGGGATGGGTTTGTAGCTCTTAAGCTCAACATAAACAAGGCTTATGATAGAGTTAAGTGGGGTTTTTTGGAAGCCATTACGCTTGAGTAGGGATTTTATAACCACAGCTGTCCATCATCATGAAATGTATTACATCGTAACAATTTTTTGGGCTGCTAGAATAATTTGAAAATAAAAAGAGTTGTCATTAATATTTTTTGGTTATATTGATTAGTCACTTATTAAAAAAATAATTTTTAATAAAACTTTTAAAATTAATTAAAATTTTATCAAAAAGATAATTTTTTGGATTTGTAAAATAATTTAGATTCGAGAATCGGTTATGAGTGAAAAAAAATTAACATCCCAATGGCACCCATTAAAAAATGATACTAATTAATTATATGTTATCATTTAATTTCGACAAAAAAGTCTTAGTTTTGATATTTAAAATTAATTTTTAAAATTTTTTTATTGTAAAATACATATTTATTTTTTAGTTTTTTTTTTATTTTTGAAAAATAAATAAGAACCTTGTATATTGAAAAATTCTTGAAAATATTTCAATATTTTGACAATATTAATGGAAACTTTCTCACCTTAGGAATCCTCAAAAATTTCTACTCGAAATTTTTAAAAATCTTATAATCGGCGATTTATATTTATCATCAAAATTTATATTTAATAAGCAGATTATAGAATATGATATCTATAATTTAAAATCAAATAATATTTTCTAAAGTTTGTTTATAATACTAAAACGAGAAATCATTATCGAAAATTATTCTAAATGCTTCAACATATTGGATGCATTTTAGATAAATTTTTTTACTTAGAGATTTATAAAGAATCACTACTTATATTTTTTTATAATTTTATCCTTAAAAATTGATAAAATTTTTATTATTATTATTT